TTGTATTTTTTTTTAATAAAACAAATATTTAGTAGATGAATCCTGTTTTGTTAAGCAACCCATAAAAATGAGTTTATACTCTTTTTTTTTTTTTTCTAATCTCCCCGTCAAGATTATCTACTTTTGCCACCTGTGGATCCTTTTCACTGCAGCTACTTCTAATTAATCTCTCCTTGGACATCCTGTTCTGTTGTCTTGCCCTTGTTCCTCTGTAATTTGTGGACTGATCTTCAACACCATGTCAAAAAGTGATCCTTAAACTTGATGTTAGCTTGTGATTGTTTTCGGGGGGGGGGGAGTTTCAGGCCTAAAATGAATTTACTTGGCATACTGTCATGCACATCAATTCAGGTTGTTCAGTGATTGACTTCCCTCACATGCTTCAGATACTCTGTTAACAACAAGCATACTTCCTCTTGTTCTCCTTAAAAATTATTGACTCTCCTGTTGAAAATTGCTGATAACTGCATAGCTTGAAATTCAGGTTAATCTATATTAGAAATTAATGGTTGCTCTCTGCTCACGTTCAACATCGATGACAAAAGCGCAGAGTGCATAGTGTAAGTTCTCATAGCAGTGACCACTTGCTCTGTGCGGAGAGTTCTTGGAAGTAATGTAGAAAAGGCAGCAGCCAGAAAGCTGCACTGGCATGGCATGATATCTTAAATTTAAATCAGATAAGGTTTTTGAACAAACATGTTATCAGCCAGACTCTAAACACAAAAAGCACAAGGTATTATTATGGTAAGCTTTTTTCTGTTATTTTATTCTTAACTGCATACGCATTAGCATTCCCTGTAGGCACTTGAGTTGATTGCTTTCTGGCCAAAGCTGTGGCACTCTGAGGCATTGAATCATCAATATTCATTGGTAGAGATGCAGCTTGCCAGTACTCAATTGATTGTGCATTTGATGATAACAGGAATATGTAGCTAATTATCACAAATAACATTTACTTCAACATCTTCTCTCCCCTCTCGTCTCTACTTTGATAATCAGGGCATCCGCTTCAGGGGCTACAGTATTCCAGAGTGTCAGAAGCTGCTGCCTAAAGCTCCAGGAGGTGAGGAGCCACTGCCCGAGGGTCTTTTCTGGCTGCTGGTCACAGGACAGATCCCAACTGAGGAGCAGGTGAGTCGATGCAAGAAGTTATTGTCGTAAAATGTTGTTGTCTACTGGAGTTTCAGAGAGCAGGTATCTGTCATGGTATATCAGACGCTGTCAAATCTCTTCAGAATGCTTCATCAAAACTGAATATTCTTGCAGTGCAGTAAATAAGGTGACTTTGGCACCTGGATCAGTTAAGATCGTGAGTCACGACATTTTCTTTTGCATCATGGAAACGTGAATAACAAGATGCTTGGTGTGTGTTCAGTTCAAGTGTATTTATCTAATGACAGATACAAATGTACAAAGGCTCAAGGCACATTA